CATCGTGTAAAAATAAATACTGTGCATGTAAGCAAAAGTATAAAATAGTGAAAACATAATAAAAACACAAAAACAACAAAGCATAGTGGTATGGAAAAATGAATTGTCCAAAGTCAAGATGAACTGTGGTTTTGTAGAGTTTTATGCTATGTGTGTTACTCTATTTGTTGGCAAAAATACTGACTGCACATATTGTCATTTTCACATTTAAGAAAACCTTTACTTAAGTTATGTTGGCCTGCACCTATTCACACAGACTTAAAATAACCTCCTATCATTTCAAAATTTTCAAACTCAAAAAACAACTTTCAAAAGCGCTTCTCTGTCCAATCCCAAAAGACGATAAGGACTCACACAAACCGACCGGCAAATTGTGACCTCACAAAAGTGGATGTCACGTCAACACCTGCGGCAAGGAATCGGCAATCATGAGCTGGCCCGGTGAGGAGGATTATTATGGGATGGAAAACGCTTGCCCAAGGGGAGGTCTGTAAAGCTGCGGCGGATGGAGTGACGGGCCAAATGAGACGCGTTAGAGAAAAAACGGCTCTAAAGTGTGACTGACTGGACAAGACAGCGGAGGGGAGCGATAAGAATGGACCGGGTGTGAGGAGGAAGCAGAAAGTTTGATGGAAGAGGTATCATAAAGGCACGACAAGGAGGAAGGAGATGAATGAAAAGACAATAGTTCACATGAAATAGGCTTTCAAGTGCAGTTGTGGATCACCCAGACAGGAGATAAGAAGGATTCGGCAAAGAGAACATTTAGGAGAAATTGTGTTTTGATTGGTACACCATGTGGTTTAGAAGAAGGACGAAGATGGTCTTTTATTCAGTTTGATGTATGCACAATTTTATTTTGAATTTGATTGATTGCACCGCCTCCCTGGGGAGGTGCTCTGGGCACGTCCCACTGGGAGGAGGCCCCGGGGAAGACCTAGGACACGCTGGAGGGACTATGTCTTTCAGCTGGCCTGGAAACGCCTTGGGGTCCCCCCGGACGAGCTGGAGGAAGTGTGTGTGGATAGAGAAGTCTGGGCGTCTCTGCTTAGACTGCTGCCCCCGCGACCCGGCAACGGATAAAGCGGAAGAAAATGGATGGATGGATGGATTGATTGAAACTGAAACGTGCCTTGGTTTGATGTCCATAGATTTTAAATTATTGGGCATTAGAAATCTCATGCATTATTTTTTATCACTATCTTCAGCATAAAATATATGGTGAAACAAGTGGGGGGTAAGTGAAGGGTAAAAACTGCACTCCCAATGCGGCCACCAGAAGGAGGACTGGAATCAAAAGTGTTTCTAATTTTGAAACTCCTAGCTGCAATTTCACCGGAGATATTTCAAAAATGTATGAATGGGCAATACTAGAGTTTTGAAAGGCAAAAACCTGCTCAGAGCGTGATCTCATAGTGGTACAATGGCATTATACCAGGTCTGTTTTTGAAAAGGAAAAAGTAATTGCTTTGATCCTGGAATTGTAGTTTGAGGATCCTGGAAATGTGCGCCACGCTGTATCAACATGGACTAAACTTATACTGTACTTTAATACTTGAACTAACTTTGAGGAGCTTATTAGATTGTTTAGTTTATGTACAAAAAAGAAAATGTAAGTGTTACTCTGCCCTTCATGAAACATACGTAATATGAAGCTGAGAGAGTTTTTTGATATGCTCATTTAAACCACACTACCACCCGATTACATAGCATTAGAATGCGTTGGATAATTCTGTTTCCAGGTACGCCACCACCGGCAAGGAGTCAGATTGCAAGCCTGTCGGCACACATGTTCATGGACCCTTTTGAGCCAGGACCCGGCCCCACTGGGAGAACATGCACACACAGAAATACTCTGAACCCAGGATCTTCTTGCTGTGAAGCACAAGAGCTAACAACTGCGCAATGGTGCACGTTCATTTTTTTATTTTATTTTTTCATTTTTTATAATGTTGATAATTGGACAAAACATTTCAATTACAATTTAAATGGAAAAAAAGAATATTTTGAAAACGGAAGCCATAATTAAAATTATAACAAAGGCTTGCCATATGTCTCTTTGCATGTAATTAGTCTATTTCAGTGTTTCTCCAACTGGGGTATGCGTACCCCTAGTGGTACGCGGGCGCCCTCTAGGGGTACGCCAAAGAATCAGTGGAAAAAAAAAAGAAAAAAAAAAACTGAAATGTTTTAGTTTTTTTTTTTTTTTTTTTTTTTACCAGGAAAGTCCCATTGAGATTAACTCATTGACAGCCATGGATGTCATTTGAGGACAACTTTGTTTTTCAATCTTTTCCTGTCAGTCTGTGTCCCCTGTATCATACAGTCTGGGGTTTGGCTGTAGACAGTATTTTATTAAGCCAGCAGGTGGCAGCAGAACTCCCTGGCTTGGTCAAAGATCACTGCCTGAGCACTCTGAGCAGGAGAGACAGAGGTGAAGCAGACATGGAGTAATATAGTCAGGGTCAGGCTACATTTGGAGGCAGTTTGAGCAGTAAATGTGTCTCCAGAGCTAACAGAGACCATGTGGAGGGTCATAGCAGCAGACCATGTGGACGGTCAGGACAGCAGACCAGCGGTGCACCCCAAAAAAGCCACAGAAAAGTGGACTATTGCTAAAATTATCACTGAGTCCACACCAGGAGCCAGCGGTAAAGTCCAGTTATGGTCACAGCGCTCGCTGGACGAAACAGTAGTAATCTTTTAGTAATCTTTATTTATATATCGCCTTTTCACTGCACATTGGAGTCTCAAAGCGGTTTACAATTGTTATTTTTTGGGCACTTGTCCTCTCGCTCCACACAGAGATGGGAGCGGGGTCGCCAGTATAGGAGGCGCATGCCAGACCTATTGTACATATTTTTAGTGGTAGGGGAAACCGGAGTACGCAGACACGGGGAGAACATGCAAACTCCACTCAGAAAGGCCCTTGTCTGACCGGGATTCGAACCCAGGACCTTCTTGCTGAGAGGCGAGAGTGCTAACCACTCAGCCACCGTGCCATCTACTGAACGACACTCTGTAGATGTAACGACACAAACACACACCAACGTGCGCATAAACGCACATACATGCGCGCCCAAACACACAAAGACACACAGCAGTATTCTATTGCACTTATTCTATAAGTATAAGTATTCACTTTGATTTATTGTCATGTATAGTGTTTATCATTGTAATTTTGTTATTCTTTGATTTACTCTTATTGACATAAATATAGCGCCACCAAATGGATGTATACTGGCCATTCTTTCTGCCATAGTTTGTCATGGGCTCTACTTTCAATATGTACATTTTGACATTTTTTGGATGAGTACATTTTGAAACATTCGAACAACACTTTGTGGATGTGAGTGTGTGTGCCATTAAACTTATTATTTTACATTAAAAACACTTTCTCAAAACTTGTTGCTGTTTTCTAACATGTAAGATCCTGGACATGTTTGAGGAGATGCTAAAGTTAAACTAAATAGTTTTACAATCACTTTTCTGCAGGTTCGTCTGTTTTCACAAACACCGCCTTTTCTAATTTTTTTATCTAAGACTGGTGCTTTTTGTCACACTCCCCTCTTTTCGACTGAAGATCACAGGAGAACGAAACAAGCTAAAAGCAAACTTCTTTTTGCTGCTGAAAGTAGACAGTCCTGTCTTTCAGACTCTGGTTTCATATTTTTCATAGCACACAATATTCTGTGAGTCTTAAAAATCAGTGAAGTCATCAAAAATGGCTGGCAGTCAATGAGAACCTCTTTTTCGTGAACAAAAATTACATAAAATTACAGATTATAAAACAGCCACATACAGATTATACAACAGTAACACCCAATTTCATAAAATTACGGATTATAAAAACAGTTACATTTCACTGAAGATGTCTCAATCTGGATCTAAAAGCATTCAAGGAAATAAGATCAGATCATTTCTAGTCTTTTTGCAACACGTTCCATGTAGAAGGAGCAGCAAAAACAAAAGTTTTTTTTCCCAGTTCTGTGCAAAAGGAACAGAGAGCAACAAAAGATCATTTGATCCAAACCAAATAAACATGTCTCTGTGAGTAAACGACAGATATAAGAGGGCAGCAGACCAGGCCTTAGAAACTAAAGTGCACCAGTGTCCAAACCTCCTGTGGACAAAGATCCCACTCCAGAATATCACTCACAGTGAGGCTTTGCAGTTCGCAATGAATTGAACGTTTTAATTGAATCATTATTTAACTCATTGACTGCCAGCCTATTTCAGAACAGGTGCTCCCATATTGCCAGCCGTTTCTGATGATTTTTACTGATTTTTCAAGACCCACAGAATATTGTGTACTATGACTATCTGAAATCTGAAACCACATTCTGAAAGATTGGACTGTCTACTTTCATCAGCAAAAATAATTTTGTTTCTAGCTTGTTTCGTTCCTCTGTAATCCCCAGTCAAGTAGAGGGAAGTTTTACTGAAATCACCAGTCTCAGACAAAAAGCTGAGAAAAGAAGGCTTTTGTGAAAATGACCACACCATGCAGAAAAGTGACTTTAAACAAAAATATGTTTTACTTTAGTGATTTTTTAACTTGTGAACACTGTTCCCTTCAATAAAACAACAAAAACAAAACAGAAAAAGTGCCTTTGAATACAAAATAATATTTTACAGCAAGTTCACAAAAAATAACAAAGTCGAAATTACAATGAACACTATTTACTGTGTGTGTGTGTGTGTGTGTGTGTGTGTGTGTGTGTGTGTGTGTGTTTTTTACACAGTGTAATTTTGTTTTGTGTGGTACGCTGTAAAGCACTCTCCCTTATGTAATGGTACACAACAGGACTTGCAACACATCCTGGTTTCCCTGCGCAGGCGCTTGCGTGCGCAGACCCTGCACCTCCTTGCGGGTCTAGCTGCCTTACTGCTGGAGGGTAGATACTCCAGCTTGTGCCTCGCCATCCTTCCGTCACGCCTGCTCTCAGGGTCTGTATTGTATGGAGCCCTTGGATTACGTAGAGCCTCTCTCTCCACACCTACTTCCACCTCATCCTCCACCTCCACCATCCCTCCTCCTCCTCCTCCTCCTCCTCCTCCTCCACCTCATCCTCCTCCTCCACATGGAGTTTTGCTGTCCAGGATTGTATGACCTGCTGCATGAACTGTAAAAGCGTTTTACACTCACTATTCTTGGCTCTGTACAAAACAAATGCATTAAACATGGACAACTGGAATAAATAGGATACAAATTTTTTAGACCAGTTCAGTGACTTTCTGATGAAGGGGTAGTATGTTATATTTTGGTCTAACTTATCTACCCCATTCATGGATGTGTTGTAGGCCACAACACACTCTGGCTTCAAATGGGTCACCTTCTCCCTGTGTCCCCTCTGCCACACATCAACACTCTTCATGTTGTCCTGGTGACAGGTCGTCACCATCCTGACCAGCCTTTTGTCCTGCCAGGCTACCACCATAACCTTTTTGTTATGGTACATAAGCCTCCCTCCCACACCCAGGTCAGACTTTGTGACATCCCTGATCACCTGAGGCTCTCCCCTGTTCTTCCTCAGTGTCCCGCACACGTTGGTTTTCGCCTCCTGTAGCTGCTCACAAAGTGAAATGGAGTTGTAAAAATTGTCCATGAACAATGTGTATCCAGCACCTGGGAGACGATCGAGGAGGGAAAAAACTATTTCAGGCAGGGTACGGTGTTCCCCAACATATGGCTGCAAGTTAAAGCAGTACCCAGTGGCCGAGTCGCACAGGACATATGACTTTATGCCATATTTGACTGGCTTCTGGGGGTTGTACACTTTAAACGAGAGCCGTCCTCGCCACTGCATCATGCCCTCGTCGATGCAAATGTTCTGCCCAGGTTGGAACATGTCCTTGAACTTTTGGACAAGGTAGTCCAAGACAGGGCGAACCTTGTACATTTTGTCACTAGCATCAATGAACATGTTGTTGTTGTAGTGCAGGAACCTCCATATTATTTGGAACCTGTTCCTGGACATGGTTTGGCTGAAGTACGGTGTCGCCTCCATCTCATTCACACTCCAGTACATCTCCAGACTTGGCTTTTTTATATAGCCAGTCAAAAAGCTCAGTCCAAAGAATGTTTTTAGCTCTGGGATGGACACTGGTCTCCAGACATGCCCTCTGCTATGTGGCAGAATCTCTGGATTTCCCTCGAAATATTGCTCAGCATACAGGTTTGTCTGCTGAACTATATGCTGGAGCAGCTCATCTGTTATAAACAGCTGCAGGAATTCAGCCGGCACGGCCGAATCCAGCTCTGCAGCAGCGTTCCGGGGTCCAGGCGTGGCGGTGAAGGGGAAAACCTTTGCTTTCCAGTCAGTCCTAGACCAGCTGCCCTCTTTGCTCTTTGTTACTGTAATAAAATATATATTGAAATATATACAATGAATGAACATAAATATTGTTTGTGATGTGCAGAAATAAATGTTTACCTTTCCTCTTCTTCTCACCAACTGTACTGGCAGATGTCACACTGGCAGGGACACTGCTCGATGTAGAGGCTGTAGAATAAAAGAACATACCTTTATTATTAGAATAAAGAATATATTACACATAATTTATATTACACGTATTGTGAATATTACACATATTGTACATTTTACTCATATTGCAAATGTTACTCATATTGTAAATGTTACTCATATTGTAAATGTTACTCATATTGTAAATGTTACTCATATTGCAAATGTTACTCATATTGTAAATGTTACTCATATTGCAAATGTTACTCATATTGCAAATGTTACTCATATTGTAAATGTTACTCATATTGTAAATGTTACACATATTGCAAATGTTACACATATTGTAAGTATTACACATACCGTAAATAATTTATTTTACACACACACACACACACAGTCTGCATTACCTTGTCGGCCGGCGGTTCTGCTTGACGCGCGAATACACGCGTCAGGGGAGGACTCTCTGCTGCTTTCAGATCGAGACGGGAGCCAATCTGAAGCAGAATCCGGGTCTGGTTCGGAGTAGTCCTCTGAACTGCTCTCCTTTTCAGAGCGCCTTGCCTCAGCACGTCCTCTGCCTCTCCTTCCAGCTGCGTGCTGACTGCTAGCATGCGCAGTAGCACCAGTTGTGCGCTTGTCTGCAGCTTTTTGGGGCTGCTGTGATCCACTCTCTCCACTTTCCACTAAACTATCGCTCTTCCTACTGCTGGAACCACCAACTAAGGCTTGCTCCAGCGTAAGCTGTCTGTATTTACCTTCTTTTCTTTGATTTTTCATGTCTCGATCGCTCTCTGTCACTCTACCCTCCACCATGTGCTGAGATCAGAAAACAGGTGCATCGAGTTGTTTACAAAACATCCATAGAGCGGTGCTGCCACCTGCTGGCTTGATAAAATATGGTCTAAACCTACTCCCCATACACATTAGATAGAATAGACATCTGGGAGCATTAAAATAGCGGAAAAAGTAATTGACGTGTTAACACGTCAATGGCAGACAACTGTACTATTTGGTTTGACGTGTTTACACGTCAATGGCAGTCAATGAGTTAATTTTATACTTGGAATGACAATGTTCCAAAAAAAGAGAAAACGTCTTTAAAAATTCCAATATTGTCTATCTAAGAACATACACCTATATACACCCAGCAATTTCCTAGTTTATAACTCATGGCAAAAAAAATAATTCTGATTCTATTTATTACTAAAATTGACTTTTTTGCCTAAATCTTGTCTTCATCTCTGCGAGAAAGAACTATATAAGATGAGATATACTTTATTGATCTCACAAAGGAGAAATATAATATGTCAAACATCATTTTAGTGACCCCATACTTTGATTAACTTGCAGAATTAATAATAACAGGTTATGGCTACCATGGCATGTTATAAATTATTTGAAAGCTAATCATTCTATAAAAAAAATTCTAAAATTCCTAACAAGTTAGAAATAAGCCATTGTTGTAATCTTTTTTTTCAGTCTACCAGAATATATTGTCCAAACTTCACATTGTATATATTTCTAGGAAATCCGCTTTTTTAAATCAGTCCCTGACCCTGACCAAAATGAGTTTGACACCCCTTTAGGATGACGCCCTATGCCACTCAGCATAGGCCGTCATTTGTTTCATGAAAAACTTGGAGAAAATTACTTGGTTGATTTTTTTTTAAGAAGGTGACAGTAAAAAGATTCCACTTTTTGTTCAGCCGTTGCAATCTATGCCATTATTGAATAATTTAATGATTTAACCTTACCTTAGGGATAATGCAATCACCAGAGCTTGTTAGCCGATCTGTATTTAGTTAGCTTAATTTACCCTTCATATTTATTTTGCCATACATTTTCACTGAAGATTCACATTCTATAATGTGAAAGTAAAGAGTATATTTGAGAAGAATCATTGAGATTTATTTATGGCAAAAAAGGCATGTGTATTAATTTCCTCACAATAATTACAAAAGTATTTATTGCTTACCCTCTATAAGGCCATGGGATCTCGTAACCCTGCCACTTCACAACTAGAACGTCAATTGATAAATCCAATTCTGCCTTGCACAACCCGAAAGCTTGTCCCAAATGAATCACAAAAGACAGGAGAGCACACGAGGCAAACAAGGACACCCCTCCAAGAACACAGCGCAGGGAAATGTGCCGTGTTTATTGACAGTAGCAGACAGATTGACACAGCGGCTGCTAAACAACATTAGCGACAATCCCCTTCCATATGGCATCGCTATGAAAGCCAGCTCTTTTCTTCTCCAAATATCAATAAATATTAAACACTGACAGTTTGCAGAGATGAATTATAGATAATTACTGCCTTTTTTAATGTACTCCTAATGATTATCTTTTCCCGCAGACTAAGTCTTTTTGTCGGGATCGGCAGCAAACAACAATGCAACATCTGGGCCTTTTATGTGAGGCAAGGGTTGAGAAGTGATTTTGAATTTGCAATAGAAGAAGCAACTCTGAAGATCAGTAGTTATTAAGCATGGCTTTTTGTTTTAACTGTAAGAGATTTCACACAGTGAAACATAAGCACAGATCTGTTTGAATTCTGAGCAGATTTGGCCTCACTTGAATAATTGAGGACGTGGACCGGAATCTGTTGACAAAGCCATTTAACAGGCCGGTACTTGACATTTATGTGTTCCGGTTCAGGAAAAGCCCTTTTACTGCGTACACTTTTGTAAAAGGAGATATTTGAGGGAAAATGTTAACAAATGTAAGGCTTCAGGCATTACATTTGGATGAGAACTCATTTTCAAGGACAGAACATGTTGTGGAGAAACATTACAAATCTTTTAGGGACCGAAAAAAACTGTCAACGACTGTAGATAATCTACTGTCCTACTTCACTTTGTCATCCTTAACCCCATTTTTATTTAATAACATATTATGCAAATTTTACTTTTTGAGGAGTTAAAACAACAAGAGGCACATTGCTGTAGTTTGTACACAATAGACTCACACATGAACAATGCGTAACTTTTTTCACATTGACAGCAATGAGAACGAAGCAGAAACTGCAACACCGTCTCAGGATGTTCTGTCTCACTCTCCGAGTCCATCTACTCTAAAAGCCGCACTTCCAAAAGGTCAAGGCATATTTGTGGCGCAGTAGTGTTTGGAGAGATCCTGTCAATTATCAAACTAAAGGATTCTTCCCTTAGTGGTCCGGTGAATAACCGGGTGTTGGGGACCACTGTCAAACACAACATATGGTCCTCGGGGGCCTCCGTACAGTTGGTAGTAGAAGTAAACTTGCAATAAATGATCTCAACGCTAAATGGGAGTAAAAATTACACAGTGTACCTTATGCAAAATAAAAAAAACAGACTGCCTGTTGTGGCTTGTTCTGTTTGATTTGTTCACAACATTTTACTTTTGCATACTACCAACATGCATTGTCAATGCTAGGAAAAATGTAGATAGCCCCAACTTTAATTTAGAGAGTTTAGTTGTGGAAAGGAGACACTGGGGAACAGATGGGAACTTTATGCAAAGACTCGCATTTTCAAGAAGCGGGAAACAGCCTGTCTGCGAGTCTATGGTTAGATTATGGCGTTACGTCAGCAACGGAGGATGTTGAATCCTATTCGAGGACATACGGCAAACAACAACAAGTGCCCCGTTGTCACATATTTCACTGGCACACGTATTGCAAACTGCATTATGCTGATTCTTTTTTTATACTATAAAATATTGCCCTCTATCGGTAGCTCTTTGCATGCGCCTACTGATGTTCAGCCGATGCATCGGTGCATCCCTAGTTAAGACTCTCCGCTGAATCCAGGCCCAGTCCAACCACAGAACCAGCCTTCCTATTGAGCTGTTTCAGCCTCTCAGTGTCCCTCTTCCTATCACTACCCCCCCTTTTATCAAAGTACCATGTTTGTACTTGTCTATGTTATTTAAAACAAATAGAGTAGTCTCAAAAACACTTAAAGAATCAGCAAGAGAAAATATTGTCAAAATTGGGCATCAAACATATAAACCATTTTTCATTCAATCAATGTAACACAATCTCACAATCCATCATGTCCAGTTGACCCACACACAACAGGTTCACTCAAAAGAGCACACACATCCACTCCATCCAAAGTGGAGACGGTGGGGACATGGACTGTACTGTTAAATTATGACATTAGGTGAGTTGTCGGATCTTAACTGGACTTTCTGTTGCACCATGAACGCAGTTTTGATTTGTAGATTCCCCCTTTGTGCTTCCTTGCTGCCTTGTCGCTTCGGCTACCCAATCAAAAAAATTTCTGATTGTCTATTCATCACAGTGGTGTTTATCCTCCACAATGAGAAATCTGACCAAAACGATCCAACATGCTATCCCTGAGATCGGGGCAGCCCTTCTGAGCAACTTAGAATGTTTATTTTTTTTGCTTTTGATGTTTAACCGGTGAGGTTTTTTTGTAACAACTGATAGTTGAGATGTAATTCCCTTGTTAAAGATGCTATACCCGGTTTATATTCTAATGAGTTCATAAAAATACTTTTTACTAATTAATTATAATCCGTAATTTAATTGAAAACTTGAGCTCATTGATTCAGCTTGTGTGTGAATTCAGGCTGTAGAAAGTGCTGAGTAGAGACTTAGCAAGGAGCAGACAGCCTGCGTCGTTTTTCAACCAGTGTGCCGCGGTACATTAGTGTGCCTTGAGATGTTGTTTGGTGTGCCTTAGGAAATATTCCAACATCACATACTTTGTCAAAATAAAGTGAAAAGAAAATTATGTTAAAAGATGAGAAAGATTATTTGCGCTCGTTGCATTTTCCATTTGTATCTACTTTGGTTAGAACGACTTTGCTTACATACTAAACGATGCAAAGTTTCATGTTTCAGTATTATTTTCAGATGGTGGTGTGCCATGTGAGTGTCGTCAACCAAAAAGGTGTGCCACGGCTACAAAAAGGTTGGGAAACACTGCTCTAGCCTCTACAGCGCTGCTAAACAGTCCAGGGCTTTGACTACCAAACTCAAATATAATTCGAAAATAAAAAAAATATATATATATTTGAATAAATATTAGACAGCCCTTAATATTCAAAATGTATTTAATGACTGCAAATAAAATAGGTAGCTCCAAAAGGTTTCACCGTGACGTGGCTAGGCAGGTAATAGGTGAGCTAGCTAGTTAAAAAACTCTGGAACTACATGAAAACTGAACAAAGAATTCTGAACATCAGCAGTGAGTTACCCATTTATATACCAAACCTAAATCCATAATCAGATCCTCTTCAAATGTGTCCTAACATTTTTGTTTCATGTTAATGTTTAATTCCGGGTTTATCACGATTGCTTTTTGTCACTTTAAAACAGTATTTTTGTCATGAAATTTTTTTTTTAAAAATCTGAAAACCTCCGTGCACATGGTGTTAAGGATGTATATGTATGATGTATTCCCTGATTTACATTTAAAGGTGTTGATCGATTGATTGGTATTTGTTTATTGAGGGTGGCTTAGTGGTGGTAGCTTCTCTGCACAGACAGAAGTAGCTAGTGAGAGGCGCTGAAAGCTCGTTGTACTTGCGGAGTAATGCTAGTATTTTACACACCTGGATTACAAACAGAGATTGCATTGCCAAAGGGCAGCGGCCATTTTCGGTGTTCTACTGCTACTGTGAAGAGCTGTACAATAAATTATAATTAAATATTCGAATATATTCTGATGTTTAAATTAATACATTCAGACGAAACTCTTCTTCTTTTACTTATATATTTTGTTAGCAGTGCATTGCTTTTGTACCATTTCATCAGTGATTGTTGTACGGCATACAAGAAGTTGCGCTCATGTTAA